GAGTCGCATCAATGAGCAAACCAACGGACCAGGAAGGGGTCCCATTTCACATGTTCTACTCCATTTTTTTCGGTTTTTTCCTCTTTCTTATTACCAACCATTTTCAACAACTTAACTTCCAATCGGTTGTCTTTTCATCCGCCAAAAATCCGCCTTTAAGCACAGTATATGAAAAGGAAAAAGGATTTGAACAGTGTGCCGGTTTACGCACGATGATTGATTGATTCCCACCACCAATGCATTGCTTTACAATTAGCTTCTGCATAAGTTACTTGCATGGATTACAGGGTGGCTATGCACTGTACAACCGCGGCACTTCGATTCATGATTTCGCTGCTCGTAACAAGTAAATGTGACATAATTACCGAATCAAAAGTCCAAAAGCAAATTTGTTTTGCAAGTAAATCAAGTAAGCCAACAAGTGAAACTAAACCTGCAACTTCTTTTACAATATTTATGTCAGTGTAGCCATGATTTGATAGAGAATGTTTCGCACAATGTGCTACACACAAATTGACTGCCAACACTGGTGACGTCATAAAAGCAAGTGAATTATGATCAAGAATTCCTCAAGGAAAGCTATATGTAGTAGGCAAGCAACACTAAGTGAAGAACATCACAAATAATTAGCAACAGCCCTTGATCAGGGATAACGATGAAAGACTTTGCGAAATGCACAACCTCAAATAAATGGCAGCCAATGAATCACAGGAGAGCATAAGACAGTGCATACATGAATAAATTATAAAAACTTGACTGCAACAATAGCTAACTCGCGAATGAGGTGACTTAAATATGGAGAAGAAAGAAATGCGGATCGAGATGTTGTTCTCAAAAATACGCCGATATATCTAGCCTGATTGAAGGACGGAATGAGTTTAATGTTTTTTCTTAACACTTCTCTTCTTCTTCCATATCTCATCAGATATAACCTCCATCAGCCAGGTTTCTCCGCCAATGCTATGAGCCAACGAACGTGAGTACATTGTTTTGCCACTGACCCGTTGACTGGGAAGAACCGGAGGTTCTTGAGAATCGAGAGAATGCTGAAAATGACTGCAATGAGCACAAGTTTTGATCGTAATATGTATCTCATTCTGGTGCTTATTTCAGTTTTTCCACGTTTGTGACGAGCCTTTCGAAAAACTTTCATCTCATTGCCTAAAGAAGTGAAAAAGCAATAGAGATTTTAAAAAACAACTCGAAAAAGCTAACCGTCTTAAGCCCAAGTAGATTGCCCTTAAGAGAGCGTACTCGCCATGACCTCCGTCTCACCCCACACGAAGATGGTAATCCTGACGCAGACATGGCGCAAGAACAGTTGTTCTTCGGACTTGACGTACTGCATGTTCTCTGGAAACAACACGATATAAAGTAGGCCGAACTGGGAGTCAAAAAGCAGCCCAAAATAGTGAATTGAACCAGTACGTTCAACATAAACGATAAAGAACTCGCCGTTGACTAAAGCCCTTTTGGGATGCGCCACGCAACTTTTCTTCCATTCAGAATCGTATTGGCAAATTGAATTCGATTTGTCCTTTTCGATGACTTGCGGAGTGTCATTGTTTTATAAGCGTATACAATGAGGGGGGAGGGAGGGG